TATCTATACCTCTGATCATTTTGTACACCTCTATCAAGTCATCTCTCATCCTTCGTCGTTAGAAAGACAAAAGCTTTAGCTCTCTCAACCTTTCCTCGTAAGACCTTCCCTTCATTCTAGGCAACATCCTGGTAAATCTCCTCTGCACCTTTTCTAACGCTTCCACATCTTTCCTGTAATGAGGCGACCAGAACTGGACGAAGGCAAATGGTTGGTCTTTATAGCAAGAATGTTCAAGTACAGGAGCAGTGATGTCTTGCTGCAATTGTACAGTGCCTTGGTGAGACCACACTTGGAATATTATGTGCAATTTTGGTCTCCATAACCAGAACATCCATCCTCAGAAGGATGGAGTACATCAAGGGCTTACCAAACTGATTCCTGGGATGGCAGGACTGACCTACGAAGAGAGACTGGATTGGTTAAGTATATATTCACTGAAGTTTCGAAGAATGAGGTGGGAACTTAAAGAAACCTATAAATGTCTAACAGACTAGACAGGGTAAAGACAGGAAGGAAGTTCCTAATGATCAGTGAGTCCAGAACCAGGGATCATAGTCTGTGGATACTGGCTAGGCCATTTAGGTCTGAGATGAGGGTTTTTTCCTTCACCCTGAGAGTGGCGAGACTGTGGAATTCTCTACTACAGTATGTGATTGAGGCCAAAGGATTGAATTTTTTCAAGGGAGAAAACAGCAACAAGGCAGTGAAGTAGATGGCCATCCATATTCCCATTGAATGGCAGAGTATTAGCTGAGTTAGCAGGATGGCTGGTTTGTGGTGCAGTGATGCCAGCAGCGTGGGTTCAATTCTCACACACGGCTGATGTTAGTTTGAAGGTCCCTTCTTCTCAACCTCTTCCCTTGTTTGAGGTGTGGTGACCCTCAGGTTAAACCACCGCCAGTCTCTTTGAAATGGCAGTAACCCAATGGTCCTGGGACAGTAGTGACCTTTAGGCTTGAAAGACCAAATGGCCACGTCCTGCCCCTATTTTCTTTGTTTCTATATGCTTTGACCTATTTCACAGATTCTGCTCAAAACCCAGGATCATAGTGTACTTTGTTATTTTGCAGGTCTGAAGCCAGTCCTGGTCTTCCTCAGGGTAAATTCATGTGGCTGGATGACCTCCATCTGCAGACTGCACAGACCTTCTGTATAGACAGAAAAGCTGATCCTGCCAACTGGGAGTACAAGTCACTCTATCGTGGAGATCTGGCAAGGTACTTGTAATGAGAAGTGCCAAGAATTCAGTTTAATGAAACTTTCCTTCCTTGTGCTAGACTGATGACACAAGTTGTGATACTGTCTGGAATAAGCACTTCACATTGTACTGTATTCACTTTAGGCTGGAGGAGGCCATTGCAAGCCATGTAGGCAGTCAATGAGAGGTTGAAAATTGCCACGCATTCCTCTATCTTTTGTACCTCTCACTTGATTTGTCTGTCAAAGTATCTGTCAGGTTCCATCTTAACTTTGTGAATTATCATAAAATCCCTGCAGTTTGGAAGCAGGCTATTTGGCCCATTAAGTCCACACCAACTCTCCGAAGAGCATCCCACCCTCCTACCCTATCCCTGTAACCTTGCATTTCCCGTGGCCAATCCACCTAGCCTGCACATCTTTGAACTATGGGAGGAAACCAGAGGACCTGGAGGAAACCCATGCAGACATGGGGAGAATGTGCAAACTCCACACAGACTGTTGTCACTAACAAATGAGCCACTGTGCTGGCCCACTTGGAATCACTGGGTGCTACAGCTCAGAAAGTGGCCTATCAAGTTAGATTGCAATTCATTGAGTCCTATTTCCCTGCTTTTTTCCCATATTCTTGCAACCTTTTTTCTCTTTTGGTATTTATCCATTTGCATTTTGAAGACTGTTATGGACTCCATATACAATATCTTATTGGACAATTCAGTCACTCTTTCTTTGAGGCGATCTCTAACTTGCCTCTGATCTAGTTTTTAAACCCCTTCTAGCCCTCATTTTTGCCTTGTTTTTTCACTTTGTTTTTCAATGGTCCTGTGGAAATCAAATTTGAGTAGTAGTTGCTGAATTTGACATTACTTCTGTGTTCCGTAGTTAAATTTTAACTCTGTTACATTTCCAGGTTCCTGTTACTGTTACATAATTCCAGTGTGCATATTTGCAGAAATTATTTTTGTTCGGCTGCATTCAATTTTACTTCATTTGAAATCCACGATGGGGTGTAAAATGTGATTGAATTTTCAGTGTGCCTCTGATATTGCTCAGCAAGGCCACAGGGCAACTGAGAGCAGTAACTGCAGCCTTGTTACTGTCGCCCAAACCCCAAGCGCGAATGTATCTTTTTATAAATGAGTGGTCTGCCAAGGGATGCAGCTCCTTGCATCTGTGACAGGTTCTTCGAAGGGTGGGAAAATTCTATGACTTTGAGCGCCCAGTTATTTAATGGCAATCCATTGCCCAGTGAGTCATTCTAATGCAGCCTGCACTAATGGAATGCCCTCCCTTTTGCCCTGTGATCCTCCTCCAGCTGACTGCTAAACAATGCCTAATGTCAATCCTGCTTCGACAATGAGACAAACCTAATTACCCATGAGATGAAATGCCCCATTAATTTTCACGTTGCAGCTCTTGCAGTCTGACTGCTTTTCATACAGTGGTAAATGGGATATATCCAGGTCGATGATGTTTGACAGAGGCTTGTCATGTCAATTATCTCAGTTGCTGGTACGAGAATGTGTGGAAAGATTGAATTTTTAAAAAAAATCATTGGCATGTCATTCTTATGACACTGCACATTTTTCAGATGTCAGTTATACCAGCAGCTGACACAAACTTAATACACTACAGAGGCTGTGCAAGGATGTTACAGCTGTAGTGACAATAACAGATTTATCCAGAAGACAGGCTGAAGCGAGTTTAAGTTAGTCATTGGTAGTACAGAGCTTGAGTATTGGTAAAAAAGACATTTGTTTAAGGTTTTCATCTGACATTCATCAGGACGTTTTTCATGAATACAAATTCCATGGGAAAACCAACATTTACACTTCATATGAAGATCAGCCATAATGTTAGGGAATGGTGGGGCAGGTTTGAGGTGATGAATGGCTCAGCCCTGCTCCTGTTTCTTATGTCCTGTGTATTTATATATGTAGCTCTCAGTATGCTCAAATGTGCCATGTCCAGCTGCTAACTTTCAGTCAGCTCACTTGTTAACCAATCAGCACTCTCTTTTCGTGCGGTATAAATGTTGGTTTTCCTCTTGAATTTGTGTTCTTGCAAAATGTCCTGATGTGTGCAAGCTGAAAAGCTTTGACAAAATATCTTCTTTTTCAACAATACTAGAATTTAAATGGTTTATTAAACTCTCTGCAGTACAGGAGAGGGGTCTAAATGAGGTGTGTAAAAGAAAAAGTTAAAGCGGTACAGTTAGCACTGCAGCCTCACAGCTCTAGGGTCCTGGGTTCGATTCCATCCCCTGGTGACTGTGTGGAGTTTGCACATTCTCCCTGTGTCTGCATGGCTTTCCTTTGGGTGCTCCAGTTTCCTCCCACAGTCCAAAGATGCAGGTTAGGTGGATTAGCCACGCTGAATTACCCATAGTGTCCAGGGATGTGTAGGTTAGATGGGTTACCCATGGGAAATTCAGGGTTACAGGGATAGAGTAGGGGAGTGAGTCTGGGTGGGATGCTGTTTGATTAGCGTGGATTTGTTGGGCCGAATAGCCTGTTTCCATACCGTAGGGATTCTAGTGTAGGGATTCAATTTGGTGTGGATATCAAGGAACTGCTCCTTCTGTTGTGTCAATCGAGGACAGGGTGACATTGTAAAATAAATTAAACTCATGCCGTTCCAGTACAATATTGAACAGTACTGTACTTCACTACAAAGCAGTGGAAATCTGGAACTCTTGAAAGCCTAAGGTTAGACAGGATCTATTGGAGTGTTCCAGACTGAGACAGTTCTTGAACACAGGTTGCATTCTTTATTTCTCCCTAATTGAATGAAAGGACAGGCCCAAAGGGCTGAATGGTCAACTTCTCTGCTTAATATTCTTTACGTTCCTGTTCTTCAGTTACCTCCCTGAGTCTTTTGTTCACATGATTTATTCAATATTAGTCTGGGGTCACCTCAATGATTTTATAGTTTCACCAGCACTGTCTTAATAGAGAGCCAGCCAGAGAATGAAACTTAAAGCATCTGGTGTTTTGGGTCAGTCCAGTCCCGCATGTTATTCTTAACTGGTGCTCAGGCTTTTTACATTTCTGTTATTGCCCTGGACAGGACATAGAGGGGCTTTATTAGGATGATACAATGATGGATAGACTTGAGATAGGTAGAGAGAATTGAGAGGAAAGGGATTGTTTCCCTTGAAGCAGAGAAGGTTAAGTGTCTAGTTAATAAACAGTCTCAAAATTATAAGGGATATTGACCAAAGTGAAAGAAGCTGGGAACAGCGCAATGAGCAGAAGTTGTAGGTTTGATATAATTGGCAAAGGAATCAGTGGGATAGGTGAGGAGAAATGAGCAGTATGGACTGGTTGGACCAAAGGGTCTGTTTTGGTGCTATAAATGGGAAATAAATAGATGCCTTGCCAAGAATGCTCATCACCCAAGTATAACTTAAAAAGCACTGTGCACATAGAATCCCTTGCCCTACCTGAGGTGCTAAACATTGTCAATTCTACATAGTTTCTATACCCAACACAGTGAAACATAGGAACATTGAAAATAGGTGAAGGAGTAGGCCTTTCGGCTCTTCAAACCTGCACCATCACACAATACGATCATGGCTGATCATGCAATCTCAGTATCCTATTCCCACCCTCTCCCCATACCCCTTAGACGCAAGGGCCACATCCAGCTCCCTCCTGAATATATCTAACAAACGGGCCCCAACAGCTTTCTGTGGGAGAGAATTCCACAGGTTTGCAACTCTGAGTGAAGAAATTCTTCCTTATCTCAGTCCTGAATGGCTGACCCCTAGTTCTGGACTTCCCTGACATTGGGAACAAATTTCCTGCATCTAGCCTGTACAGTCCCATCAGATTTTATGTTTCTATGAAATCCCCCTTCATTCTTCTAAATTCCAGCAAATACAAGCCCAGTTGATCCAATCTTTCCTCACGTTGTCAGTTCTGCACTCCTGGGAATCAGTCTGGTGAACCTTCGCTAGATTCCCTCAATAGCAAGAATGTCCTTCCTCAGATTAGGAGACCAAAACTGCGCACAATACTCCAGGTATAGCCTCACCAAGGCCCTGTATAACTGCAGCAAGACATCCTTACTCCAATACTCAAATTCTCTCGCTATGACAGCCAGCATGCCATTAGCTTTCCTCACCGCCTGCTGCACCTGTATGCCAACCTTTAGCAACTGTTCCACCGTGACACCCCGGTCTCATTACATCTCACATTCTCCAAAACTGCCACCATTCAGATAATAATCTGCCTTCCTGTTTTTGTGACCAAAGTGGATAACCTCACATTTATCCACATCATATTGCATTTTCCAAGTAGTTGCCCACTCAGCCAGTCTGTCCAAGACATCCTGTAAGCTTTTTAGCATCTTCCTCACGGCACACACTGCTGCACAGCTTAGCGCCATCTGCAGATTTGGAGATAGGGCATTCAATTCCTTCGTCCAAATCATTAATGTGTCTTGTGAACTGCTAAGGTCCCAGCACTGAACCCTGTAGTACCCCATCTCGTCACTGTCTACCACTCTAAAAGTGACCTGTTTATTCCAAATCTCTGCTTCCTGTCTGCCAACTAGTTTTGTATCCATGTTAATACATTAAAGCTCATGGTATCAGAGGTAATTTTCGTTACTAATCTCTTGTGTGGAACCTTGTCAAAAGCGTTTTGAAAGTCCAGACACACATCAGCTACTGATTCACCCTGGTCCACTCTACTGGTCACATCCTCAAAAAATTGCAGAAGATTTGTCAAGCCTGATTTCCCTTTAGTGAAGCCACGCTGACTAGGACCGATTCTGTCACTGCTTTCCAAATGCTCAGTTATTACATCCTTAATGATTGATTGACTCCAGCATTATCCCCCACCCCACCAATGTCAGGCTTACTGGCCTATAATTCCCTATTTTTTCTTTCCTTCCTTTTTTAAAGAGTGGGGTTACATTAGCTAACCTCCAGTCCATTGGAATTCTTCCAGAGTCTACAGAATGCTGGAAAATGATCACCAATGCATCCGCTATTTCTAGGGCCACTTCCTTAAGTACTCTGGGATGCAGAGCATCAGGTCCTGGGGACATATTGGGTTTTAGTCCCATCGGTTTCTCAAATAGCATTTCCTTCGTGCTTGACCCCCTGTTCCCTAGCATTTCCTGAAGGCTATTTGTGTCCTTAGTAAAGACTTAGTCTTAGTAAAGACAAAGTATTTGTTCAACTGGTCTGCCATCTCTTTGTCGTCCATTATGAGTTCAGCTGATTCTAACTGCAAGGGATCTGTCTTCACTAGTCTTTTTCTGTTCACTAATCTGTAGAAGCTTTTGTAGTCAGTTTTTATGTTTTCCACAAGCTTACTTTCATATTCTATTTTCCCTTTCTGAATTAAACTCTTTGTCCTCCTCTGCTGAATTTTAAATTTCTCCCAGTACTTGGGTTTGCTGCTTTATCTGGCAAATTTATATGCCTCCTGTTTGGCTTTAACGCTGTCCCTGATTTCCCTTGCTAGCTATGATTGAGCCATCTCCCTTGTTTTACTCTTATGTCAGACAGGGATGGACAATTGTTGAAGTTAATCCATGTGTTCTTTAAATGTCTGCCATTGCCTATCCACCAGCAGTCCCTTGAGTATCCTTGGGCAGCTTATCCTAACCAATGCATGTCTCATACATTCTAAGATAGCTTTCTATAAGTTCAGAACCCTAGTTCTGGATTTAATTGTGTCACTCTCCATCTTAATGAAGAATTGTACCATATTATAGTCCATCTTCCCCAAAGGATCTCGCACGACAAGGTTGCTCATTAATCCTGTCTCATTACACAATAGCCAGTCCAGGATGGCTTGCTCTCTAGTTGGTTCCTCGACTTATTGGTCGAGGAAACCATCCCTCATACAGAGATCAACATAATTATGGAACCAATTCAGTAGCAGTAATATTGAGATAAGATGTGAAGATATTTGTTCAAAAAGTGCATTGCATTAGATTACAATAACTTTGTAATACATTGATGGTCGAATATTTCAGATACAGGAGGTGTGGGGATGTTTGCCTTGGCCTTGACACCAGAAAGCAGCACATTATCTGGGAAGATTCATTCAGACCAAAGAAAAAGGTCAGGAGGAAGGATCATCGATATTACAGCTTGTCGGGTCTTCAGCTCCTGAGTACTGACCCTGTTCCTGTTCGCTGTGGAGAGGGTGTACAAGAAAGCATTCCTGGTACAAACTCCTTCATACAAGTTCCAGATTGGGCAGACAATGACAGTAAACCCTCAGGCACTGTCTCCTGGTTCAATCCGCTTGGAATTTACGATGAATCCACCGCTTTGTGGCTACAGGGAAAAGGCCAAGAAGAACTGGAGGAGCAAACACGCACGCCCTTGGATAGCAGTGAGAAGATAAACTCACTCAACATGGCCAAGGTGGAGAAGTTCAACAGGATGTTGAGAGAAGACCCTGGGGATGTCCAAACCTGGATGGAGTTTGTTCATTTTCAGGTGGGTCTTGAAACATTCTGCCTGGATAGAACATAGAACAGTACAGCACAGTACAGGCCCTTCAGCCCATGATGTTGTGCTGACCTATTATCCTACTAAGATCAAACCACCCTATCATCCATGTGCCTATCCAAGAGTCGCTTGAATGTCCCTAGTGTATCTGAGTCCACTACCACTGCCGGCAGCGCATTTCACACGCCCACCACTCTCTGTGTGAAGAACCTACCTCTGACATCTCCCCTATACCTTCCTCCAATCACCTTAAAATTATGTCCCCTCGTAATAGTCATTTCCGCCCTGGGGAAAAGTCCCTGGCTATCCACTCTGTCTATGCCTCTCATCATCTTGTACACCTCTATCAAGTCATCTCTCATCCTTCTTCGCTCCAATGAGAAAAGCCCTAGCTCCCTCAACCTTTCCTCATAAGACCTGCCCTCCAGTCCAGGCAGCATCCTGGTAAATCTCCTCTGCACCCTCTCTAAAGCTTCCACATCTTTCCTGTGATGAGGTGACCAGAACTGAACACGTATTCCAAGTGTGGTCTAACCAGAGTTTTATAGAGCTGCAGCATAACGTCACGGCTCTTAAACTCAATTCCCCTGCCAACGAAAGCCAACACACCATACACCTTCTTTACAACCCTATCAACTTGGGTCGCAACGTTTGAGGGATCTATGGACGTGGACCCCAACATCCCTCTATTCCTCCACACTGCTGAGAATCTTGCCATTAACCCTGTATTCGGCATTCAAATTCAACCTTGCAAAATGAATCAGTTCACACCTCACACATGAAGTCATGTGCATTTGAAGGTTGGATGAACCTATTGTCTGATTTTGTTACGAATCCTGGGTAATGGCATCACTGTTACTGGTGCGGAACACCATCACGGGTAAAACCGTTTGGGATAAACCAGGGAAAGCAACTGTTTTTAAGACTGTTGATTTTACAATGAAGTAAGAGTGATGGAGGAAGAGAATTTTCTAGTTATGAGTTCCTGGGGAAAACTGAGTTTGAGGAGGAAGAAACATGGGAGAGCATGTTGGGGCTGCTCCTTTCACGGTGGGGCAGGGTGCTGAATGTCTGTGTTGGGGCCTGTGAATCTGACCGAAAGACTGTGGAAACAGATAATGGGGATCTCAGCCTCAGCCAATATGAACAGGGCTCCTGGATTTGAGCTGCTTATTTTCCAGCCAGCAATCGGTGGAAAACCCCTCTCTCGATGAATCTACAGCAGCATCTCGCTCAAAGCGAGAGAGAGTGATTGTAAGATGTAGCAGCAGGAGGAGGCCATTTGGCCCATGAAGTCTGCTCTGCCATTCAGTGAGACCATGGCTAATCTGATAATCCTCCCCTCCACTTTGCCACCTTTTCTCCACAACCCTTGATTCGTTCACTGGTTAAAAATCTATCTATCTATCTGAACCTTAAATATACTTCATGTCCCAGACTCTACAACCCTCTGCTATGAAGAGTTCTACAGATTCACAACTCTCTCCGAAGGAACTCCTACTCAGCTTGGTCTTAAGTATGTGACCCCTTACTCTTAAGATTATAGACTCTCCCACCAGTGGAAATAACTTCTCCACATCTAACTTGACTAGTCCTCCTGCTTTCTTGCATGTTTCAATAAGGTTGCCTTTACTTCATCTAAACTCCAGTGTGTACAGGCCCAACCTAGTCAACGGCTCCTACTATCAGCCTAGTGAACCTTCTCTGGACTGCCTCCAATGTCAGTTATATCTTGCCTTTGATAAGGGAATGAAAACTGTTCACAACATTCCAGCTGTAGTGTCTGACTCATACCATATATAGTTTTAGCAAAACTTCCCTATATTTAAACTCTGTTTCTTTTGTAATAGTGGCCACCATTCTTTTAGTCGCCCCTGTAACCTGCTTGAACTTGAATGCTTTCTGTGATTCATGCATGAGGATTTCCAAATCCCTCTGTTCTGCAGCTTTCTGCAGTCTTTCTGTATTTAAGTAATATTCAGCCCTTCGATTCTCCCTGCCAAACCTCTCATTTCCCATATTGTGTTCCATCTGCCAAGTTCTTGCCCACTCAATTAACCTATCCAAGTTCCTCTGTAGACCCTTGGTATCATCCTCATCCCTGCCTTCCTGCCTATTTTGATGTAATTTGCAAACTTGACATTCCGCTTCCCTCATCCGTGTCATTTCTCTGTACTATACTGTTAAATAACTGTAGCCCCAGCACTTATGTCTCTGGCAGGTTACAGGCTACAGGCTACAGGCTACCGTCCTGAAAATGCTCCCCTTATCCCAACTCTCTCTCTACTATTAGTTAGCCAACCTTACATCCATGTACATATACTATCCATAACACGGTGAGCTCTTATCTTGTTGAGTAGCCTAAAGTGCATTATCAAGCACTTTTTGGAAATTCAAATGTATTACTGATTCCCTTTTACCTATCCTTTTTTCTTAAAGAAATCTAATGAATTTGTCAGGCATGCTTACCCCTTTATGAAGCCATATTGACTCAGCCTGATCATTTTATGTATTTCTAAATGCTTTCTAGCACATCTTTTATAAATAAGTCATTGGGAAAGGTTAGACACTATGTCAGTTGCCCTGCAGTTAATTGTAATTTGTCTCCTCTTTTTTGAATAAGGGTCCAACATTGACAGTTTTCCAATCCTTTGGGGCTTCTCCTAGAATCTAAGGATTCTGTTAGATGACTACCATCCACTCTCTCTAAAGCACTTCCTTTAAAATCCTAGGAATCAGCCCATCAGGTCCAGGCAACTTATTGGTTTTTAGCCCCATTGATTTCCTTAGGAATTTTTCTGTAGTTATTTATTTCCTCGTTCCCCTTTTTGCCCCTTGATGGTTTTATATATTTGGAATGCCATTAATATTTTATACCATGAAGAAGTATTTGTTCAACCCATCTCCCGTTTCCTGGTGTCCCATTCTTAGCGTGATGGTGGCCAAGCACAGAACTGGGTCTAGATTGTGGCCCCATCTTTGACTAACCAATCAGGGATTACTTGGTGTAGTTACTCGAAGGCTGCTGCTCTCTGGGATGCCGGTAGCTCCCTTGTGCTGATACAGAATCTTTTCTTTTCTCGGTTGTAATCTGGTATTGCTCTAGGCCGTTGAGAAGTTGTTACTAACTTGTTTGTCCCTAGATTCTTGGTGCTTTTAACTGAGAGAATTGAGAGAGAAATAATAGTCAAGCTAGGCTCTGATCACTGTAACCGAGAGATCGAAGATGCTGGCTATAAATTTGAAGAATATTGTATTGGATTACTTACAGGACATGGACTGCAGTGGTTTAAGAAGGCAGCTCACCCCCACCTTCACAAGGGCAACTAGGGACGTGCAAAAAATAATGACCAACCAGTGATGCCAATGTCCCACGAGTGAATTTTAAAAAAAAAAAACCTCTAGTGTTCAGTATTAGGTTCTAAGTGATGATCAACCAATCACGTGAACTTCGTCACCTTGCACCTTTTTTGTAACCTTGCTGCAGGAAAGACTCAACCAAGCGCAGGGAGCAGATTTCAGAGATAGCAAGAACTGCTGATGCTGGAGTCAGAGTCAATACAGTGTGGAGCTGGAGGAACACAGCAGGCCAGGCAGCATCAGAGGAGCAGGAAAGCTGACGTTTCAGGCCTAGACCCTTCTTAAGGACTGGGAGGGGGAAGGGAGCTGGGAAATAAATAGAGAGAAGGTAGGTGGAATGGTGATAGGTGGATGCAGGTTGGGAATAGTGGGGATTGGTCAGTGGGAAGGTTGGGGCAGATAGGTGGGGAAGGAGATGGACAGGTTATGTCCACGTCAAGGAGGCAGGGATAAGAGGGAGGGTTGGACACAGAATGAGACTGGGGAGTAGGGAGCTATTGAAACTGGTGAATTCCTACGTTTAGGCCATTGGGCTGTAGGCTCCCGAGGCAGAATGTGAGGTGTTGCTCCTCCAGTTTGCATGTGGTAACATTGTGGCATTGGAGGAGGCACAGGATGGACATGTCACCCAGGGAGTGGGAAGGGGTGTTAAAATGGTTGGCAACCAGAAGGTGGTGTTGATTATAGCGTGCAGAGTGCAGGTGCCCTGCAAATCAGTCACTGAGTCTGTGTTTGGTCTCACCGATGTAGAGGAGGCCACATTGGAAGCAACAGATGCAGTAGACCAGGTTGGAGGATGTACAGGTTATGTCTGCAATGTGGCTATTGATGGTAAGGCCCATGTGTAATTACAGCCAAGATGTTGGTGGTGAGCTGCTTTCATGAACAGTTGGGTTGGGGAGAGGCAGGGGAATGTTTGCTCAGGTTTGTGAGTTTCTGCCATATGTCTTTTTGTGACTGGACAGGCCAATTCTTACCCTGTACTTCTTTAGGCATGAGGTAGTGTGATCTGAAGTAAGGGGTTTGTTTTCTTCTATTTCAGTCTGTGTTGCAGCTCTGTCTCACTGATAGGGAGCTGTAATCCAATGTGGGTAGAAGGGGTAATTGAATACAAAACCTCTGTCCACATCTCTCCTCATAAATACCGTGTGATAGAAGGAAAATTTGTACGTAATCTCTGAGTATGGCTTTTGTCCATGTTGCATTTTAGTTTCTATTCCAGACCTGTTATTAATTAGGAATTGACTGATCACATTATGTAACGACAGTTTCACCACATCTGCTGTGAAATCGAAATGAGACACCCGTTCCATACGAGAGTTGTCTTTAAAATGTCTCCCTTCCTTCAGGATGAATTAATGCAAGACCCAAGTCCGTACACGGCCACGGCAGCTGAATCTGAGAAACGGAAGAGATCCCGAAGGGCTGCCTGGGAGAAAAAGCTGGCCATTTTGGAACGAGCCATTGAAAGCAATCCCAACAATGTGGAGCTGAAAGTAGCCCGGCTGGAGCTCGGCAAGGAATCTTGGGAACCGTCCAATCTGGTGAACGAATGGAAAAAGGTCGTCTTTCTACACCCAAACCACACCGCTCTGTGGCAGAGGTACTTGCTGTTCTGCCAGAGCCAGTTCAGCATCTTTTCGACATCCAAGGTCAATGGCATCTATGGCAAGTGCCTGAGCACCCTGGCAGCTGCTCTGGATGGTACCTTACTGTCCCATCCTGCACTGCCTGACACTGAGGAGGCCATGCTTGGTAAGGCAGAGTCTGATGTTACTCATGTACTACATGTACTCGAACTGACGTTACCTGTAGGCACTTCTGGCTTCCATTCAATTAAAGATCTAGGCACGCTCTATGGCACAGTCCATCATGCCAGGATTTCTGATTGTCTGGTGACCCTGTTGGGAAATGGGTGTCCATGAACTTCAAATGTGTATCACACTCTGGAGTTGGAGAGTTTGAGCTATAGGGAGAGGCTGTTTTCCCTGGAGTGTCGGAGGCTTAAGGGTGACCTTATAGAGGTTTATAAAATCATGAGGGGCATGGATAGGGTGAATAGCCAAGGTCTTTCCCAATATAGGAGAGCCTGAAACTAGAGGGTATAGGTTTAAGGTGAGAGTGGAAAGATTTAAAAGGGACCTAAGGAGCAACTTTTTTCACACAAAGTGTGGTGCGTGTATGGAATGAGCTGCCAGAGGAACTGGTGGAGGCTGGTACGATTACAGCATTTTAAAAGGCATCTGGATGGGTATACGAATAGGAAGAGTTTAGAGGGATACGGGCCAAATGCTGGCAAATGGGACTAGATTAATTTAGGATATCTGGTTGGCATGGACAGGTTGGACCAAAGGATCTGTTTCTGTGCTGTACAGCTCTATGACTCAAGATGAAATAAAAGGTGAGGGAGGAAGGACAAGAAGAACACTTCTTATTTAATGGAGTCACTGTCGTAATGCCGGAAACATAGCCCCCAGTTTGTACATAGCAATTCCTCTGCGACAGCAATGTGATAATGAGCAGATTAGCTGCTGATTCAGTGGTGGTGATTTAGAGATAAAGATTGGCCCGGGAAACTCTGGAGAGCTCCCCTGCTTTTCTCCGGTACAGTGCCATGGAATTTCTTGTGTAAACCTGAGTTGGCAGACAGGGTATCCATTTGAAGTTTCTGGAACAGGAACAAGAGAGAGGCAATTTTCTTAGCTCCTCAAACCTGTTCTGTCATTCAGCGAGATTGTGACTGAGCTGTCACCTGCCTTTATCTCTCTCCCTTTGGATGACAGAAATCCATCAGTCTCCGAACACTTCAGTTCTGTCTTCAAAAATGATGGTTAACTGTGTCAGGCATGAGCTGATATTGCATGTCTGTGCTGGCTCTCTCTGATCAGCTGATTATTTTTCAAGGGCATCAGTTGTCATGTGGCACCTCTGATGGTTCAATAATGTTCCATGTTCTGGTTTAACATCCACATAATGCTGAATCTGATGCTGACTCTGAGCTCTCCCTAGTGATCTGAAAATGGCAAGTAGTTTCTCACTGCAGCTGCAACAATTTTTAGTATGGGGGAGCATCAGCTCGCACTTGGATAGCCCTGTTAATTTAATCAAATGTCCCAGGGTATTGCACCAGGCAGTTATTATAAAGAAGGCTAAACAAGAAACAAAGAACTGCAGATGCTGGAAATCTGAGACAAAGCAGGAATTGCTGATCATCAGCAGGTCTGGCAGCATCTGTGGAGAGAAAGCAGAGTTAACATTTCGGGTGCAGTGACTCTCCTTCAGAGTTACCCACTGATTGCTTGCTGTCCTCCTCACCCTTTGCAAAATGTGCCACGATCCACTTCTGTGTGTGAGAGGCGCTAGTGTAATTGCAAACAGTTCAGGTTTTTATTCTTTTTAATCTTTAACTCATGGCTTTGCTGGATTCAATCCTTTTTCTGAAAAAGCTTTTGTGTTCATTTTCACAGCAATTTTCCTGCAGCAGTGTCACTTCTTGCGACAGACTGGCCATTCGGAAAAAGCCATTGCCCTCTTCCAGGCTCTCATTGACTTCACCTTCTTCAAACCTGACAGTGTTGCTGGCCTGATAACCAAGGCACAGGTAAAGGCAGTCTCTTCTCACCTGCTTCATAGATTTACAGATAGTCTCATGGTTTTAACATGTATAGATAGCATGGCTAAGTGCATAGCTCGAGTATCCATGTAGTGATACTCGAGAGCGCTTTGGCCTATGCTAAGGGTGGATAGTTGGGCGTTGGTTAGCCTTAATGGCTGGTCTGTTTGCAGAGTAATATCACCAGCAAGGGTTTAATTCCCACCCCAACTGAGGTTACCATGAAAACTTTCTTTCTCAACCTCCCGTCGCCTGAGGAGCAGTGACCCTCATCATCCATCGTCTCTCTGTAATAATATGGCCTGGTAGGAATTTATAATCTCAGTAGAGTTTGTTAACAGTTTGCCATTACTGTCCCAGAACTAGGAGCAATGGATTGGCCATGGATCCCGTTCCCATTTGAGGTTTCCCACCCATGTTTGAAATGTTGAGGATGTTACTTGTTGGCTGGATCAGTCTTGCTTCTGGCTGACCTTCTCCTGTACCATCCAGCCTCTCTCCGACAGTTTCTCCTTGTGGATCTGTAGCTTAAAAGCAACAGTGCCTCCAGTAAGGATTGAGCAGGCAGAGAAGTATAAAATTTGTTCCTCAGTGTGACCAGCCTAATGGAAAAAAGAAACAAAGAACTGTGGATACTGGAGATCCGAAACAAAAACAGAAATTGCTGGAGAAACTCCACAGGTCTGGCACAATCTATGGAGAGAGAAAGCAGAGTTAACGTTTTGAGTCCAGTGACCCTTCCTCAGATCTGTTCTGAGCATTAACTCTGTTTCTCTCCCCACAGATGCTACCAGGCCTGTGGAGCTCCTTAAGCAATTTATGTTTTTGTTTCGGCATAATACAGAGTCTGACTGGCTTAGTTACGGCCTCCATTAAAGTTCTTCAGTCAGCTTTCATCTTGCGTCTCCTATCTTTAAGTATGTCTCAGGCCCTCTATATAGATGTACAAATCATCACCAGGTCCCACCTTCATATGCCTGTATCTGCTCTGTAAGTGCCATAATGTGCACAGCCCCGAAACACCAGTAATTGTTTGGCACTTGTTAGATATAATAAACATGGCTTTATGTCAGTGTTGTGCAATCAAGACCAAACTGCTATTTCAAAAGTTAGTCTTTTGTTAATTGTCTCATTTATGGTCTGAAATTCTGGCTGGTTTACTCTGTGGTGAAGTGCTTTGGGATGTTTTAGAATGTTGAAGGTGCTCTGCAAAGGCACCTTTAATAGAATTTGTACGTAGCATGTTAATTTTGGAACGTTCCTGCAGCACAAACCTTGCCCTAGATTATTTCAGCTCTCCTGGGTGTGCCTAATTTACCAATTACTAGAGGATTGGAAAATTGCCAATGTGACAGCCCAATTCCCAAAGGGAGGGAGGCAAGAAGCAGTTAACTATAGGCTGATCAGCCTCACATCTATTGTTGGAAAAGTAATGGGATGAAGTATTAAGGAAATAATAGCACACTTGGAAAATCATCATCTAATCAATCAAACAGAGACAGCGTGCCTTCCTGAAAGGGAAATTATGTCTGATGAATTTATTAGAGTTTTTCAAGGAAGTCTAAACTAGAGTGGATAGAGGGGAACCAGTAGATGTGTTGTATTTGGACTTCCAGAAGGTGGTCAACAAGGTACCTCACAAAAAGATAAGTCCTAAGATAAGAGCCCATGGTGTTGGAGGTAGAATATTAGCATGGGTAGGGAATTGGCTCATTGTCAGGAAATAGTGAGTGGGCATAAGGCATTCTGTTTTAGGTTAGTAACCTGTAACCCGTGGGGTTCCACAGGGATCAGGGCTGGGACTGCCTCTGTTTACAATACAAATGAATGACTTAGAGGAAGGAAGTGAACGTACTGCATCCAAATTTGCAGACAGCACAAAAATAGGTGGAAAGGCAGGTTGCAAGAAAAAGACAGAATAGTTTGCAGAGATATTAAGTAAGTGAGACAGAAGTTGGCAGATGGATTATAATGTGGGAAAATCTGAAGTTGTTCATGTTGGAAGGGAGAAGCAAATTTTTTTTTAAAGCTGTTACAAAGGGAAATGGTGGAACTTGTGCAAGAAACACAGAAAGCTAGCACACAGGTGCAGCAGGTAATCAGGAAAGGCAATGAAGTGTTGGCCTTTATTTTTAAGGGGGTTGGAGTATGAGAGTCGGGAAGTCTTACTGCAACTGTACGAGGTGCTGGGGAGACCACGTCAGGAGCACTGTGAACAGTTTTGATTTCCTAATTTAAGGAAAGCTATTTCTTCATTGGAGAGAGTGCAGGGGAGGTTCACTCGAATGATCCCTGGTATGGACGGGTTATTTTTGAGTAAAGGTCAAACAGGCTAAGACCGTACTCACTGAAGTTCAGAAAAGTGATAGGTGATCTCAATGAGACACATACAATTCCTAAGGGGCTTGACAGGGTAAATGCTGAGAAGATGTTTCCCATCATGGGAGAGTCTCGCACCAGAGGGCATAGTCTCAGAATAAAGAGACTCCCAATTTAAGACTGAGATGAGAAGGAATTTCTTCTGTGATGGTTGGGAGTCTTTGGAACTCCTTGCCACACAGAGCTGTGGAGGCAGATTCCTTGTGTATATTTTAGGGTTGAGTTGATAGATTCTTAATCAGCCGGGAAATCAAGGGTTACAGGGAAAAGGCAGGAAAGCGGATGTGAGAAGCAGCACGGTGGCTCAGTGGTTAGCACTGCTGCCTCACAACGCCAGGAGCCCAGGTTCAATTCCATCCTCGGGCGACTGTCTGTGTGTGGAGTTTGCACATTCTCCCCGTGTCTGCGTGGGTTTCCTCCGGGTGCTCTGGTTTCTTCCCGCAGTCCAAAGATGTGCAGGCTAGGTGGATTGGCCGTGCTATATTGTCCATAGTGTTCGGGGATGTGTAGATTAGGTGGGTTAGAGGGGGATAGGTCTGGGTGGGATGCTCTGAGGGTCGGTGTGGACTTGGGCTGAAGGGCCTGTTTCCACACTGTAGGGATTCTATGAAATATCGAATCAGTCTTGATCCTACTGATTGGAGTAGGCACAAAGGGCTGAACAACTTCCTCCTGTTCCTTTCTTTTATGTGTTTTTTGCTGTCTTGAGTAGATATAAATGATCCCTCAACATTATTTTGAAGAATAGCAGGGGCAAATAATCTTGGTATCCTAGTCAATATTTATCCCTCAAACAACACCCACCAGAACAGATTCCCAGGTCAATATCGCGTTGATGTTTGTGGGAGTATTCTGTTTGCATTTAGGCTGGTGCATTTCCTCAAGGTCAGCAGTTAGGACAGTATAAAATGATTTGCAACATCCTGATGTGGTTGTATAGATGTAATTTACCTGTCTTGAGCAATAGGAAAGAGAACGTTTACCCAGTGATAATTGAGAACGGGTTCCTGATCAATACTTTGTGATTCCCTGCAGTGAATGCAGAACTTATCATTTTGTCCTCAATCGTTTAAACATTTAGTTTCCGCTCCCCCCCTCCAAAAAAAACGCATAATACAGCTGCAGTTGTATAACACTGATAGGAAACCTTGAGGCAACTTGCAGAAGTCTCTCTGGCACCTCCCAAATGTGCAACCTCTCCCACCCAACAGGAGGTGGACAGAAAAGCCATTACCCTGTAATTTCCCCTCCAATGTCTCACACCCTGCGTTGGATAATATAGCTGTTCCCTCACTGTTACTGGCTCAGAATCCTTGATTTCCTTTTTATCAATGTCGTGGAGATATCTCTGCCCCGTGACTGCAATGCTTAAAGACAGAGGTTCACCAATCACCTTCTCAAGAACATCAGAGATAGATACCAAAGGTTGGCCGAGCCAGTGAAGCATACACCACTCGAATACATTTTAAAAAAAAAACCTTCCCCGAGCTGGAACAGCCTCCTCAGACATGAAGAATGGGGTCTGTAAAAATACACCACGGGAGGAAGAAGTGGGGGAGAGAGAGTGAGAGGGGGCATTTTTCCTGTTGATTGGGGGAGGTGGCGAATTGATTAGCATATGTCTGAGGGACTCCCTGGTTATAGAGTCATATAGCATGGAAACAGGCCCTTCAGTCCAACTAGTCCACACCGACCATATTCCCAAACTAAACCAGTCCCACTTGCTTGCATTTTACCCATACCCCTCTGTGCCTTTCCTGTTTGTGTACTTATCCAAATGTCTTTTAAATATTGTAGCTGTACCTGCATCCACCGCTTCCTCTGGCAGTTCATTCCACACATGGACCACTCTCTGTGTTAAAAAGATGTTGCCCCTCATGTCCTTTTTAAAACTTTGTCCTCTCACCTGAAAAAATGCTCCCAAGTTTTTAACTCCTCCACCCGAGGGAAAACCGTTTCTATTCACCTCATATATGCCCCTCATGATTTTATAAACCTCTATAGCGCCAAATAGCACGGAAACCCCTTCCATCTCTTACGGTCCTGTGGGAGGAGAAAAAGTCCCAGCCTATCCAGGCCCATCTTTATAACTCAAACCCCGCTTTCCCAGCAACATCCTGGTAAATCTCTTCTGAAATCCCTCTAGCTTAAAAACGTCCCAACTCCTGTACTCAAAGGTCTGAGCAATGAAGGCAAGCGTGCGAAATGCCTTCTTAACCACCCTATCTACCTGTGATGCAAATTTCAACGGATTATGTAGCTGAACCCCGAGGGGGTTCTCTCTGTTCTACAGCATCACCCAGGTCCCTCCCATTAACAGTTATTTTGTTGGCTGGAGGTTGACAAGCTGCAGGTTAACAATTGAAGTGGTGTATTTTAAATTGTGACAGCTGAGCATATAATATTGAGAGCTGATTCTGTAAAGCTATACCAGTAATCTATCATAGATAGCAGGAACTGCAGATGCTGGAGAATCTGAGATAACCAGGAGTAGAGCTGGATGAACACAGCAGTCCAAGCAGCATCAGAGGAGCAGGAAGGCTGACGTTTCGGGCCTAGACCCTTCTTCAGAAATGGTGGAGGGGATGGGGATTCTGAAATAAATAGGG